CGACTATGTGGATTGTGAAGGACTGAATGTGGGTAAGTGGCGTCCGTGTGCAAATGCTTTTGCGAACGCAGACGACAGGAACAAATTCACCGCTGCATAGGCAAGTTCATTTGTGGATGCGAAGTCATCGTCGTTGGAATGGGCAACCAGCATGGCATGTCCCAAGCAAGAGGTGAAAGCAACACTATCAGAAGTTAAATGGGTATTTGGTATGACCTGCCACTGTGACATCGTGAAAGGCAGGAACCTCGACGATAGAATCAGTGAAATGCAGTGTAAAGCGCGGGTAGGAGGCAAAGTGCGGGCACAGTTTGATGCATCCTGTGATTTTGTTTTACAAACCCACCTCAAACTGGTTGAAATCTGAATGGGCCTCTCGTACAGTCTTTAATAATACATTTGATTGATGGCATAACGTGCTATCCTGAATAAATCTCTTAAACATTTGGACTCGTTGCATGAAACTTCTCAAAGGTTATTATATCGCGCCTGTAAATATCTTCCGTTATGAAGATTAGTGGGAAGTACTGTGACGCCACTGGCTAAAACCATTCGGGATTAGCGTGTGAAGGGCGGATACTAGTATTGGTATGCTTTAATAACTAATTTTTAGCTCAAAAAATACGCTTTCGAAGATTCCGATGATATCTTATAATCGCACTTGTGCATATTTTTACCGTCTTGAGGTCGTTGAAACATGGCAAATGCAAAACAAATCATTTGGCTCAACATTCGCCAGCTGAAATTCATACTTCAGCTTCTAATTCAGTTTTAAAACTTATTCATTAAGCCATTTCTCCTTGCCAAGTTTACTGATGGCGACTGCCGCCTGCTGCAACTGTTACAACCTTTTCCCAAATGAAAGCTAATTCATGCTCACAATTATTTAATGCTTACTAAGGCTTCTAGTGATGCTTATCTGTCTTGCACTCTACCCTTCAATCTGTCCGACGTTTCATGCACTCCTTGAGCACCCACTCCATTTACACCTTCACCTACTTGCAACTTTGTCTGTCGTCCACTGTCGCTGTCCATCAGCCAGTAAATCTACCTACTCAACAGACACCTTACCGATCAATCTACCCGGATTCGCCTCCATTTACTGTTGAGGAATGTCAAAAGAGTATTTTATTTGAACATGTATGCATGCAATTATTTGAATGTCCTCAAATGTGCTTTGCT